TTCTGGGCCTGCTTTGCTGCATCAGATTGCTGCACAGATTCAAGACACCCTGTACAATGAAATCTCAAGACTATCAAGGTATTCTAGAGAGAAATGTGCTGCCCAGTGTCAGAAAGCTTGGTCTCAGTCGCAGGTCGTGGGTCTCGCAACAGGATAATGACCCAAAACACACAGCTAAAAACACCCAAGAATGGCTAAGAGGAAAACATTGGACTATTCTGAAGTGGCCTTCCTGCTCAACCAATAGACTTTACATTGTAATGATGTCACAAAAATAGAACTAATGAAGTTTTACTGAGATGAAACCTCTATAAACTAAACAGCTGATCTTGTTTGACGTTGGAAGTGGCCTGTCTGTTTTTCACTTCTTGTGTTGTTTGTAGAGGATTGGAACAGAATGGTTAGATGAAGTACACCACCTTTCATGCCTGTGTGGCATGGAAAGTAAGTTTGAAGTATAAACTCGCCAACTACAGAAGGAAGCTCAAGCAGCTTGGATGCCCAGAGGTCGAACTAAATTCCTTAACAAATAAACCTGCAGACAAGAGCAGTCCTGCTTACGGTGTGAAGAAGCCCAGAAAAGCTGAGGTGAATTACTGCCCCTCCTACCCATCAGGTGAATCTGCAGAGACACTTGAAAAGATAAGAGAGGCCCTAATTTCAGAAGCAAAGAAAAGGAACAATGAGGACACAGCGGCAGCAATGATGGCCAAGACCTTTTCTCATAGAAGGCAAGAAGTTATTTGAGATGCACCCATGATTGCAGTTTTGAAAACCAGATGGCCAGCTCTCTTCAGTGTGCGTGAGGTAACTGAATAAGTGATTAAAAGTGTGTTCATATTTTAAATTCAAAAATAGTTTGGAAACATTTTGTTTTGGGTTATTTCTCCTTTGTAACAATTCTAATTGGTGTTGTATCATATATCGGTTCAAACTTGATTTGTCACCTTTACAACAAGATATAACATAAGGATTGTGCTTCTGTGGAATGAGCAATACAGCTAGTTGTGTAGGTAGCACCCAAAAAATGTTTCCAAACAATTTTTCCAAGATTTGGTGGAAAATTATAATTGTTAAACTAACTGGTTGTTTCAGTGCATTGATAGTTAAATTTCTCTGTACCAGGACCAACACGGGATCTTCTCACTGTGAGGCCACGGTGTTAACCACCGAGCTACTGTGCAGCCCGCAATACAGTTCCAGTTTTAGAAATAGAAATTTAAATTACATGATTCATAATTTTTGTTTTGTTTAGTGTATCTGTGAGCTCTGTGTTTGTCACTGTTTGAAGTTGTGAAACATGGACATTATCAGCAGACTGCAAAGCAGGGTGCAGAGGTTATCTTCAACAGTCACATGTGATGCATTCAGTTGCTTCAGAACATATCTTCCGTTCCACCCAAAAGCTTCATGTGGATCAATGTCACAACTGCAGGTAAAATAAAGGCCCAGGATTGTAGCACTTCCAGTTTTTATTCTTCCCCAGTTAATCTGTTGATCGTCCAATACGTTGATGCAGACTAGATTTTCAAACATTTTTATCCTTAACTTCATTATAAAATCCTTGATAATTTAATTAATTTAGACCTTAACAAGTTGAACTGGAAATGTCTTTTTGTTGAAGCCATTAACAACCGGTAGATAGCTGCATAATGGTGAAGAGAGTCACAAAAAGAGAAGTTATTCTGTTTTTGATGACGTTTATTTGTCAGCTCCAGTCTATTGTATATTAATTCTTAAAGAATTCAGCAACACCACAACATTTGGTAAGGGATGTAAAGATTTATAACATTTGGACTGGTGTTACAGTCTCAATATCTGTAATAAACGCTGTTGTCTTGTATTTCTGTCAACTGTTTTGAATATTTATTAAAGTTTTTAGTGTATTGATGTGGTATGAGAGGGCCAGGTCTGCTCCATGTAAAACCCTGCAGATCACCTGTATGGCATTCTAATAGGTTACCCTGTCTTTATTACAACGTGGGGATTGTGTCCAAACTGTTAACGTTTACATAAATCTTGGAGCAGCTGTGACCGACTGAAGACTGACAGAAGCGGCTGAAGACCTGCTCTGCTGCCTGTACTGACCGCGTGTCAGGCAAGACGAGCCTAATAATAGCCAAAACTCCGAGCCGGTCAGGAGGACGTGAAGGCAGCAGTGGGAGGGGCCTGTGTATCAAATAATCCCAAACAACCGAGAAGCTGGTTTCCACCTAAACAGTGTGACTGACCCAGAGTGTGGCTCGGTGCAGCTGCTGGCCGTCAGGGAGCTCACCACACCGGTAGGTTGCCGCTGCTGCTGCTGCGGTTCTCAGTTTACACTTTAAAGGGTTGAGTCAAAGGGAACAGCTGACTTAGTTATGTTAAACATGAGCTGGTTAGATCTGGATGCTGCCGTGCGTTATTATTACGTGAGTTTCAACTGTGAGCTGACAAGGACAACGAGAACTCTGTTACATAGGATCTGTGTAATTGAATATGAGAACATGTTCATAAAGAAGTTAAACAGTAACTTGATCGTCAGTGTGTCACAGCTTCATGCCGATGAGATCAAGTCTGTTGGTTTAACTATGCTTCTACTGTCCAGAAAACAAAATTACCCATTTAGATACACAGTGTTTCCTGATTTTGTGCTACAGTTGTCTAGTTCAATGCTGATGCCCTCCTTCCTCCAGCAGACCATCATGCAGAGTGACATGACGATGCCCTTGCTGGCCGAATGTGCCTCTGACCTCTCCAAGTCGCTGCCCCGGAGCCAGAGAGACCCTGTGATTGGCATCATCGGCTCAGGAGACTTCTCCCGCTCCCTTGCAATCCGGCTGGTGGGTTGTGGTTTCAGGGTGGTGGTGGGCAGCCGCCAGCCAAGCCGCGTTGCCAAGGGTGTGTTTCCTGACAGGGTGGAGGTACGATCCCAGAGGGAAGCGATACATGCTGCAGAGAGGGTGGTGTTCGCTGCAATCCACCCAGAGCACTACCACTCCCTGGTAGGGCTGAGGGAGATGCTGGCCGGGAAGGTGTTGGTAGACGTGAGCAATGCCACCACATTGACCAGTCACAAGCAGTCCAATGCAGAGACGTTAGCAGAGTTGTTCCCAAAGAGCAGTGTGGTGAAGGGCTTCAACGTGGTCTCGGCCTGGGCCCTGCAGACTGGAGCCCATGATGGAAGCAGACAGGTAGGGTGGAAGATGGGGTGAGATCAGGAAAAGCACTTAAATGAGACTACACAGACTAAAAAATCAAGAACAAAACAAAACAAACCAAAACCATAACAAAAGAAAAACATTTTGATCACTGCATGTAAGAGGTAACAACACTGTTACAATCATTTAATAGGACTGAGGTGGAATCTCTGCCAGTGGTGGTGCAGTGTATGTACATTACATGTGTGTATGCAGATCCTACAAGGCCAAATAACTGTACATTTGGTCAGTCCTGAGTTGAATGCCCGTTTTATTTCATTAAAATACAAAACAGAACTACCTAAACTAAACTAACACCTAAACTTTGCTCAACGTAGCTAGCTGAGCAGACCTCCCTTGCTCATTTTTGTTTATTAATTTCTTTTTTATCATAATGATGTACATTTGTTGAAGTTAAGTTAGTCAAATTAATAATTAAGCACAAAGTTAATTCAGTTTTTTGTAATTGTGATAAATAAGTCACTGAAATGAATTAGGAAGCAGTGCAGTGTCTGTGTCTGTGCAGGATCAGCCCGTTCACAGAAGACATTAATACCGGTCATAGTTGGAAAAGCACAGTTGTTATTAACAATGTTGAAGTCAGACATCTTTCGTGTTGGTGTCATTGTTTTCTCTACTTGGACAACTTAAAGGTGGTGTCTGTGATTCTGAAGAAAGATTGTTGATATTTATGTCATTAGCATATAATAGACTATCCTTCTTCCACTGCATGCTGTCCTGCCTATCTCCCCTTCTCCTTCCTTTCCCCTCATTTCTGTGCACAGGCACACATGCACAGGACCCACTGCAACAGCCATGTTGACATTAGTCAGAGTCACCTTTGATTCCCATTTACAGAGCCAGGACTCACACAGAACACACATGGACAGTGAGAAGATGTTCACTGAATTTGACAAAATGTGTATTAGATTAGTATTGCTCGTTCTAACTTTTAGAAGGTCTGCTGTGAGAAAGGCCTTTTCTGTCGTTTCTATCAAAATAAACTTTTTGGTTTAATAGTTTGATATAGTTGTAGCCTTTGTACAGCAGATTGATTTTTACATGACTGTAGCTCTATGATAATATTGTAATGTCAAGCTAAACTCAAAATTGTCATGTAAAAAAGAGTTGTACTGAAAACACAGTTTGATGTTTGTAAAGTTTGTTGTCAATGCGACAGATTTCATAAGTAGTGGCAATGTTCCATGCTCATGTGCTGTAAATTAAGCCCTTAAAATCTGGTCTTCTGTCACTTCTCCCCCCAGGTTCTGATCTGCAGCAACTGCTCTGACTCGAAAGCTATGGTGCTCGAGCTAGCGCGTCGCATGGGCTTCAGCCCTGTGGATCTAGGGAGTCTGTGTGCATCCAGAGGCATTGAAGAAGCCCCACTCATCCTGTTCCCCTCCTGGGGAGGTCCCATCTTAACGACCTTGATCCTCTTCATCTTTTTCTATGGATACATCTTTCTGAGGCACATACTGCTCCCCTATCTGGATCACAGAGAGAACAACTTCTACCAGCTGCCCCTGGTGACCGTGAACCAGACGCTGCCTGCGGTTGCCCTGGTTACACTGGCTCTAGTCTATCTACCAGGTATGGAACACAGTATAGACACAGCAGGCCACTGCAGAGCAAAAACATACTTGGTGAGGATTTTTCTTTTAAAGGCATAGTTAAAAATAAATTCTTGCACCAACTGTTATTAAAGTGTTCGCTCTGCCTCCACCCACCCCAACCTTTGACTTTGCTTAAACACTATAGAACTTCTCTATGCAACACAATGGCAAGTTGTCAGAGTAATTCAGGCAGAAATGTTCAAATTGATTCAGAAGTATAATGATACAGAAAGCCCCACCGTGCAAGATGACAGGATTGGTTTAGTTGGTTTCCTATGTATGAAATCTCAGATGTCTGAATCTGTGTTTTTGCAGCTATCATCAGTATATTGTTGTTTGAAGGTGGAAATATTCAGTTGTGGCGTTAACTCTTTGTTTTACTCATGATATGCTTTCCAGGTTATACAAAAACACCATGTGGTCATATTAATAAGGTTAAAAACTGGATTTTCAGGGAAAGTTCTACCTGTGCCTTGATCAATAAAGTGGTTGCATTAAAAGTAAGGTGGCCAAATTCAAAACAAGCATTTTTTCTTGTCTATCCCAGCTGACTCAGGGTGATGGCAGGCTCCCCTGGACAGGTAACCAATCTGTCACAGGGCTACACTTAGAGACAGACAACCAAGCACACTCACATTCACACCTACGGACAATTTAGAATCAGCAATTAACCTCAACATGTTTCTGGACCTTGTGGGAGGAAGCCGGAGAACCCAGAGAGAACTTACCCTGCAAGGGGAGAACATGCAGAAAGATCCCGGGTGTCCTCACCGGGACAAATCGGGGATCTTCTAGCTGCCAGGCCACGGTGCTGAAAAATCATACAGGCTGTGCATAGTAACATGGTTGGCCCCACCCTTCTCATTCTCATTGCTATCTTCTAAATGTCTCTCAGTAACTCTGTAGAACTCTTCAGGAAGAACTGCAATTTAGGATGATTCTTGTTAGTACGATAAGATCTTGTGTCATTACCTGGTCAGAAAAATCAACTTGAAAATGTCATGACTCAGTTTATACGATGAAGCTGAGCAAATATCAACTTCATTTTCTCAGACAAGGTCGCATGCTTGTTCTGCTGCCTCTTCACTCTAAATTAATTTCTCAACTTTGCATTTGTTCACCTCATGCAGAAACAAGCACCTTTATTTAAATGGAGGTGGGAGAAAATGTCTGCTGTGTTTCCTCAGGTCTGGTGGCGGCGGTGTTTCAGCTGGGCAGGGGAACCAAGTATAAGAGATTTCCTTGTTGGCTAGACTGTTGGCTATGCAGGCGAAAGCAGCTGGGCCTGCTGAGCTTCCTCTGCACTGCACTCCATGCCGTATACAGCATGTGTCTGACACTGCGTAAAGCTGCAGGGTACACTCTCCTCAACGCAGCCTACCACCAGGTGAGCACCCAGCAGGTATACACAATGGACCTGCTTGTATCTAGTATATTTTTCTCCGGCCTGATTGTTGAGGTGTCTCCTGAGGTGACCCTTTTCTGACCAATCATTTTCAGGTCAAAGCTGGGATTGAAAACTCCTGGGTGGAGCAACTGGTGTGGAGGGCTGACCTTTACCTGTCCTGTGGAATTCTGGGATTTGGAGTCCTTACTCTCCTGGCTATTACCTCTCTGCCTTCTGTGGGCAATGCTCTCAACTGGAGGGAGTTTACATTTGTACAGGTCAGCAGATTCCCTATATGTGTATATTAATAAAGATAATTTAATGTATCTAAACTCAATCATGGAGGGCTAGCTCCAATTTACAAATGGTAATGGTAGCTTTAGTCATTCCTTCTGGCCTTACTGGCTATGAAGTGATTCCCTCTGAGTCTAACACAGCAGCACATACCCCCTGTCATGCCTCTGCAAGGAAACTGAAAATTTTACATGTAAGACTGACTTCAGAAGTTACACACTTAATGTGTTTATGGTTGCTGAATGGGCTGCAAGGTGGCTCAGGGGTTAGCACCATCACCTCGCAGCTAGAAGGTCACCGGTTCGCATCCTGGGATCTTTCTGCATGTTCTCCCCGTGCAGCGAGGGATCTCTCCGGGTTATCCGACTTCCTCCCACAGTCCAAAAACATGGTGAGGTTAATTGGTGATTCTAAATTGTCCGTAGGTGTGAATGTGAGTGTGCTTGGTTGTCTGTCTCTAAGTGCAGCCCTGTGATAGACTGGTTACCTGTCCAGGGGAACCTGCCTTCACCCTGAGTCAGCTGGGATAGACTTCAGCCCCCATGACCCTAGTAAGGATTAAGGTGTAGAGATGATGGATGGATGGATGGATGGCTGCTGAATCATTACAGTGACCTTTAGCTTAACTTTAAAATAAATGTTTGCATAGAACGAGGATGTGGCTGTTTCTAAAATCACTTTCTTTTTGCCAGGTGTCCAAATTCTGACGCACACTGTTCAGGGCAAACGCATGTATCGTGTTCTGGTTTAGAGGGGTTAGAATTCTGCTTTAACACAATTGTCCATTACAATATGCTACCCTGCTATATACTGTAATGTTTGAGTGTATAAACATATCCATTACATAATGCCCATCCAAGATTCCACAGTGGTGTAGTAGTGTACACTACTTGCTGCCAACTATCCCACAATTCAGTGTGCAACATTTTATAGATGTGAAAATAACCATCGTGTGACGCAATAACTTGGATGTGATTTTGGATGCAGCCTGAGTCTTTATGGTTATGTGTCTATCAAAGGGTATTTTTTCCAAATGGTTTCAATGGGAGCACCACATATTTTACACTCATTTACAAAGACCAGCAGTGTAACGAGGTGCGTAGTGTGTATTCCATGTTAAGCGTGCTTTAATACCCAATAGTTGCTGAAATATAATGACTCAGTTCTCCTCAATGAATTTTGTCATCCCAGATTCCCTGACTGTTGAAGAGTTTTGATGTCTCTTCTTGTGTCTCCAGTCAGGACTCGGCTATGCTGCCTTAGCTCTCTCCACCATGCACACTCTCTTCTTTGGCTGGGACTTTGCCTTCTCCCCTGGGGCCTATCCATATTACCTGCCACCGGCCTATCTACTGGCCCTCATCCCACCCTGCATAGTCCTTGTTGGGCGCCTCTTCTTGGCTGTGCCATGCCTGACATTAAGACTGGCGAAGATCCGCAAGGGCTGGGAAAGCACACAATACTGGCCAGTCAATAACCAGGAGCCAGGAGGGTCACGTGAGGCACATCCTCAACAAAACTTTGATGATGTCTAGTGTGAAATCTAAACTCTGCCAGTCTGTCACTTCTCCTGCACTTTTTACAGCCACAGGGGGACATTCCTTAATGACTACCGCTTTTCTCTTTAACAATAGTAAGGGAAACACAGAGACAAGGAAAAAAAGAGTGTAGATCAGAGACATGACCTTTCCATGATCCTGGAGATCCATCATCTGTACACCAAATAATCCTCTGTAGGGTTGCGGGGGGCTGGAGCCTATCCCAGCCGACTCAGGGCTACACAGAGCGACAAACAAGGGCACTCACATTCACACCTACGGACGATTTAGAATCACCAGTTAGCCTCTGTGGAGGAAGCTGCACAGAAACTCCACACAGAAAGATGCCAGGCCCAGGCTGGGACATGAACCAGGGATGTTCCAGCTGTGAAGCGACAGTGCTAACAACTGACCACTGTGTAGCCCCCATCCTGGAGATCATGATCCTTAATAATGTTCTGATGATTTCAAAGCAAGATTTTTGATGTTTCTTTTTTTTTGTTTCTGAAAATGTTTTTAAAATTGACAGTAGTCAGACAGGAAAATTCAGACAAAGAGCTTCACTAATAGAACAAACTAATGACTGTACCAGTTTAATTGGGTAATTTGGCAATATTAGTTAGGTATAGGGGCTGCAGGGTGGCGCAGTTGGTTAGCACTGTTGCCTCGCAGCAAGAAGGTTGCCGGTTCGCGTCCCGGTGGGGGCACCGGAATCTTTCTGCATGGAGTTTGCATGTTCTCCCCTTGCAGCGTGGGTTCTCTCTGGGTTCTCCGGCTTCCTCCCACAAGGTCCAAAAACATGTTGAGGTTAATTGGTGATTCTAATTGTCCATAGGTGTGAATATCAGTGTGCTTGGTTGTCTGTCTCTAAGTGTAGCCCTGTGACAGATTGGTTACCTGTCCAGGGTGTCCCCTGCCTTCACCCTAAGTCAGCTGGGATAGGCTCCTCTTGTGTGATGTCACAGGAGGCAGAGCCATAGGCTGACTTCTGCAAACAGGAAAGTTTGCAAACAGTCCAAAGCACTGTGTATTATGCTATCTGTCTAGTGTTTAGAAATGCAACTGTGACCCCATATGTGGTTCACACCAAGAAGACAGTATGGGTTGTATGTCCATCACTTGTTTTTTATGTCATTATTTTTACAGTTGTAAGCAGATGAACAGTGTGCTCTAGTGATGTGTCATGCGCCAAAGCATCGACTCTAAGAGCCGATGCTTTACAGTGAATCAGAAGAGCTCCCATCAAGTGAGAGCCAGCTCCAGACTTTCATTTTCTGCTGCTCAGTGGCTCAAGCTGAGCTCATGGCAGAACTTTGTTTTGATTGGCAGCATGGCGGCCTTGTGGCCAATCACATGTGAGGATTTCGTGCCACAGCTGATGTTATAATGGAGATGCGATGCTATCATGAGGAGCCCCTCATCCAAAGAGCAGAAGAGCCACTGAGCTGGTGGCAGACTGAGGCCTCAGTCTTCCCCCACCTGGTGAAGGTGATGGAGGGGAGACAACATCTGTTTCCTCTGAGAGAGTCTCACAAACAGTGCAGATAGTAACCGAGAGGAGAAACAGCATCAGCCCAGCAAGGCTGAGACATTTAATTTTTTTGAATGCAAACCTGCACTAAGGACATACTGTTTGGTGTTTGAACTGAGTTTTGTTCTGTTTCTGTTCTGGTTGTGTTCTGGTTCTGCTCTGTGGGTGTGTTTGCAGTGTTTTGTTCATTTGCTTTCATGTTAAATTAAGATTAAAAGTTTGATTACAATGTTAAACAAAAGTAAGAATGGCTGCTTTTGTAACATAAAAATACACAAAATTAGGCCATTATAAGGCTTCTCATAAAAACAGTAAATTCAAAAGGATTTATCAACACAGAGCATTCACTGTAAACCCAGATTTTGATTCAACTCAAACAGACTGAGTTCGTTCTACTTAAATGTGTCTAATTTATTGACATTACTTGTTAATTCTGATTAAGCTGAACTTTTCCATGTCCTTTCTTATTGTAATTGTGTTTTTAAGTCCAATCAGTAGTTTCTACTCAAACAAACCAAGTTCTTATTACTTAAACGTGTAATTTCTTTACAATAATTGTGAATTCTGACTAAACTGTATTTTTAATGGCCTATCTTATTGTAATTATGTGTTTGAGCTCAAACAACTCAATATCATCAAGTTTTTCCTGTTTCTAATGCATTGACGTCACACATGTGCCCGCTAAAAATCTAGTTTATACCAGTTTTGACAGAGTGGCATTGATGAGCAGAGCTTTTTGACCAAGCAAGTTGTTCAACTGGAGTTCAGCCACAAAAACGGTAAGTTGGAACTTGGCATTTATTGAACATTTTGTTCAACATTTTTCTAATACAATACAACAAAGGCAGCTTTGTACCGGGTGAATGATAAATAACCAGCTAACTCTGCCCCACACTTTCTTAGTTAACGTTAGCGATGTGCTAGCTAGCGCCAGTAATGGAAATTGTATGTTGCTCCCACACAGCTAATGCAAGTTGAGCTGAGCCGGACACCTGAAGCAGCTACCTATCGTTAGCTCAACCACGGACCAGCGAACATCCCGATAACTTGGCGCAGATCCCAGCTGCTATGCTAAGGCGTATTCTATTGTGTAATGCTGGGTACAAGTACGCGGAGTCCGCCCGGTCATAAAAATTGAGCTTTACGCCAACGTGTCCGGCGACCATCTGCTTTGGATACGCTTCGAGTCCGCGGTGTCGGCTCTGTCTGAAACTTATTTCCTCTGTTGCTTCCAGATAACTGAAGTCGAGCTGAGACGGTGAAGCAGCTAGCCACAGACCTGCAAACATCCTGGTCGTTTGGTGCACACAAGCTCACATTATTAGTTAGCTAATTAGCTTTAATTTCTGAATTTGAGAACTGGTGCCTAATTAGGCTCCTTCCATTTCTTGTTGGTCAGTATGTTCCTCCGGGGGAAAAGGCATGGGAAGTTCTCATGCTTGTCAAAGACATCGTGGAGTTAGTAGTTGCCCCCAGGTTTACTGAAGACACACTCTACTTCCTGGAGTGCAAGTTGTCAGAACACAGAGAACTACTGCAGTCTACATTCCCAGAGTTCAGATTACGACCTAAGCACTACATTGAACATTACCCTCAACTTATTAAGGCATTTGGTCCACTGTGTGATGTATGAACTGTGCGCTTTGAGGACAAGCATAAACTTTTCAAAAAGGTTATCCGTGGTGCTCAGAACTACAGGAATGTAGCCCTTACACTTGCCGTGAATCGCCAGAAAGCAGTCAGTTATCATTGGGACTCAAGTTCATTTTTCAAACCTTCAGTCGAGATGGAGAAGGTCACTACAGTCTCTGTATCATCTTTCCCTGAGAACATCCAGAGGGTACTCAGTCAGAAAATTCACAAGCCAGCAGCAGTTCTTGTCACGTCATCCATGTGTCTAGAAGGTGTTACATACAAGGCAGATTTGGTAGTCTCTGCTGGATCCTGCTCAGGTCTTCCTGAGTTTAGGCAGATTACACAAATTGTTGCAGTTCATACAGAAATCATGTCTGTGTGCAGAGTAATGAGTGCATGGCACCATGAGCACCTTAGATCGTATGAACTTTGCTGCTCTGATTTAACCCCACCCTTGTGTGTGGTTCCACTGTCAGAGCTTAATGATGTTTTCCCCCTTTGAGAATACAGAATAGGTGGGAAACTAATGGTGACCCTCAAACATTATATTCTGTGTTGAACAATCTCTCTCTTTCTCCCCAGATGGCAGTGCAACAGAGAATGCTTATGAGAGTTATCTTCAATGAAGCAGACAACTACAACTTCAACTTACAGTTTAAAGATCCCAACTTTGACAATGAACTGTGCAATCTAATAGAGATATCAGAGCTGCCTGAGCGACCTACCCTTAAAATCATTCCATTACTTTCTCTTGTGGAGGTGCCTGTCCCGCGATTTACATCAAGTGAAGAACTAAGCGACACACCCAGCCAGGCAGACCTCTCCAACTCTTCTCTGGAAAGACAACGCCAGTGGAGGT